AACACGGGGCCGGGAGGGAGGAACGAATATGGGAAAAAAAGGCCTAGTCACACTTTTCTAGTTGCTCAGCCTTTTAGGTGTTTCGCACTTTCTTCCCAGGCCTCAGGAACCGCAACCCTATACTGCACCATACCCTGCTCATCATGGGAACGACAACAAGAGTTTGCATCTGACCCTTCACAAACAAAACAAAACCAAAGGGGGGGGGGGGCGTATATCCTCCTTGCATCCAAACACGCACAAACGACTCTTGTAAACCTGCTTAAGAGACTGGAAGGCACATATAAACCCGGGCGCTCACTTCGGCTGCAGCACGCTAACGCAGTTACCTTCTCCGCTATCAGGTGTTGGAGGGCCAGGAATCAAAACGAAAAAGGGAGAGACAAATCGCTGCTTGGTCTGTAGTTTTGTTTCCTAATCGTCCTCCATGTCCACCGCAAATCGGAGCCTGAAGCAAGCCCAGCTGATCTGCAGTGTCAGTCAACGCGTTTCGGCTAGCAAACGCAGAAGCGCCTCTCTGTACGAGGGGACAACGTTGCGTCTGTCTGCCACGCCGCTGCACAGCCCGAAGCACCGCGAGCTCTGCTAACATCCCCATCCCTTCCTCTCCCATTGTATTTTCTTTTCTAGAAGCCTTTCAACAGAAAAGGAAAAAAAAAAAACCTAAACATTTTCAAAGCATCCTGCCTGCTCCCAGCAAGCTTTTTATCAACCGCAGATAGAGAGAAAAAGGATGACTAATTTTTTAACATAATACAAGGAGGAGGGAACATGGAGAGCACTTGAGGAAAAAACTAATTAAATTCTTGAGTCTCTCAGCAAGGACCTCAGCACCCCATACAGATCCACCCATCTGTAACCTCACAGCTAGAAAGCCAAAAAATATCATTTTCCTCCTCCCTTCTGCTCCCTCCCTGCCCAATGACCCGAGGAACACGGGCTGGGATTCCTTTCACGACAGTATTCAGATTTTAATGTCACTCCATATTTAGCAGGAGGAAGAAAAAAAAAAAAGCCTCCCTTCCTTCCTGTCACATTTTCCATCCTTGATGACATCGAAGACCAGAAATAAGCAAACGCCCGCTGAGCAGAGAGAGGACATGTCCACCACAGCGTGGGACAGCAAGAGGCGGGGCAGCCCGTAAAAGGCATGCAACCTCCTATCCAAGACAGGTAGGGAGATACCTGCTCAGGAGAGACCTCCGATACCTCTTCAGCAGAAACCTCCCCTCCCAGATGCAAGACGTGTCAGAGCTCTGCAGTTTCCGGACCTCGCAGCGGACACACACCACGCAGCCTGCGGGAGTCCACGCACCACGCAGCCCATCAAACACCCATTTGGCTCCACCAGTTCCCTCGAGAAACACGGGGGCCCAGCAGCTCCCTCGGCGATTCAGCAGCTACAGGCAGCCCCGCTTTCGGGCAGAGTAAGTCAACAGAGCTCCCAAACGCTGCCCACGAGGCTCGGCTGCATCTCCCAAGAAATCGGGGTTTCCATCAAGCAGCCTTCCATCCCCTGCGCCGACCAGATCCCGCGAGGCTGGGAGCTGTCAGCACGACAGCGATCCCGCAACACGAGACAGAAGGACCAAGGACACTAGCAAAAAATGCATCGCCCTTCCAACGTAGGTGTTATAATACCCAATGCAACAGAGCCCTCATGAAGGTCCTGCAGTACAGATACACGGACTACAGCTGGGAGAAGCAGGTGGTTGTTGGTGGAGCTCAGGTCCAGGCCCCCTCAGCCTCAGGTCTGCAGTTTTACTCCCTGATATACCCGAGACTGCCGTGAACGCGAGCAGTCGCTTCCCTCGGTAAACACCACCGGCGCGCTTGCTGTCCTTCCCCTTCCAGCTTCCTTTCCACCCGTTGACCTAGACGGGTCACACAAGACTCTCAGCCTGGCGCGAAGGAAGATCTCAACGGGGCTGCGGGCGAAGGGAGGAGAGCGTTAAACGGGCCCAGCTCACACGCTGCCGTAAACGACGGCAGGTTAAACCTAGAGCCGCCCCTCCAGCAGCGCACCAGCGCTCCTCAAACTCAGCAAACGCCACCGCCGTTTCTGCATACGGGAGGAGGGAGACACAGAGCTGCTCGGGGCAATGCCAGGAGCCCTCCTCCCCATTGCTCTTGTTTTAAACGCCGCTTACGCCCTTTAATAAAGCGCCACGTCCGTGCACCTTCCTGCGGTGGGGAGAAAGGACGATGCCGTGACTCAACGCGAACCAGGACCTCCCTTTGCAAAAAGGTGATAAAATACATACGATATATTGGGGAGAATCGAAGCGCCCGTTAATTCACCTTAGGAAGACGGGAAGGAGGTTGCTCAAACCACGAGCTAAACTTGCGTACGCACTGCCGGCGCAGCCCTGCTGCGGTGA